CCAGCATCTTGGACAGGTCAGCGTTGTGTAGGTCGGGGTTCTCGTCTGCCAGTTTCTTCCGTTCAACTTTGGCCCAGACCATGAAGGCGTTCATAGGGCGCCTGATGCGCTGCTCCTTGCGGGCCTTGTCCGCGGCCCCGCGAGACGCCCCGCCGGCCTCCCAGCGAGCCCCGCCGCCCCCACCAGGGTAAGGCTCTAGCCCCCGGGGGTGGTGGTGTTGCTGGTGTTGGAGGTGGGGAAGGAGGAGGGTGGGGCCATACATGAGCCCACCACCGTGGCCGCCCCCGGGGTGGATAGACCTTAGGGAACACTCCAGTTGCCCACCCAGCCCACTCGTGTGATATGATCCACCCATCAACCCACTGTGGGTTGTGTAGTGGGGTCCCCCTCCTCCCTCACCCATGTGGGCGGTGGTCATAGGTGTGGGCGTGACATTGTCGTTGTAGTCCAGGTGGGCGTGGCTAGGGGAAGGTGTAGCCACACCCACCGCGGGCAGACCGAACCCTGCCAGGGAACACTCGCCTGTGGGAGAGATGAAATGAAAACAAACAATTTTTTTATATTTTAGTCAGAGTAAACAATAAGATGTGGTGGTCGAGATGATACAGTGCTCGACTCCTGTCCAAAGAATCGCTGGATCACACCCGGAGTATTCTCAACCCCTACCTTGACAGTTTAGGAAGTGGTGGTGGTTGAGTGCAGTGCCGACCTACTATCACCTTGTCGCTAACGGGCCCTCAGGAGCATGGAGCCAACAGTAAACATAAATATTCAACAGTAGTGTAGAGAAGAGGAAACAGTACACAGGATTCTGTTGTTTATGAACGTGCGCGCGTGTGTGTGTGTGTGTGTGTGCGTGTGTGTGTGTGGGTGTGTGTATTGTTATTTATACTTCCATGTATGTATTATTTTGTCTATGTATATATGTATGTATCTATCAATCAATTTGCTTGTCTGTCTTTCTCTCTCTCTCCCCCAACCTAACCTAACCAAACCTAACCTAACCCAACCTAACCTAACCAAACCTAACCTAACCAAACCTACTTGCTTATCTCTCTCTCTATCAATACGTTGCACCTAAAATAACTCTAGGAAGACAATATAACTTCCTCCTGTTTTGCCATATCGCTCCCACCATCACACTGCCCACCCCCCCCCCCTAGTGTCGAGACCTTTGTGGATATTTATGTACAGTGAGTCATATTGTCACCATAACACACTACACTATACCTTTACAGTGTCTGTTTGGTTCTTAAGTGTGAGCAAAGACGAGAAATAATGCAATCAGTCAAGTCAGTTTGCTTCCTCGTCTTGTGATATTTAGGGTTGGTTAGGTTAGGTTAGATTTGGTTAGGTTAGGTTATTTTTGTTTATGTTTTTGTCTTCTGGTGTTATTTGACCGTGAATTGTTGTAGCGTTAATTTAAAAGATATTGATTGGATATTTAGTTATGCACGTGATAGTAATATGTGACAGGAAATTACCAGTCTGTGTTAATTTATAGAAAAAAAATCCAATGATGGAGTGTGTATCTGTGTGTGTGTGTGTGTGTGTGTGTGTGTGTATCTATGTGTGTGTGTGTGTGTGTGTGTATCTGTGTGTGTGTGTGTGTGTATCTGTGTGTGTGTGTGTGTGTGTGTGTGTGTGTATCTATGTGTGCGTATCTGTGTGTGTGTGTGTGTGTCAGCTCTCAATATGTAAGGAAGATTTAAGATAATAAACACAACTATTTTACTTTCCATCACAAAACACCACTACAAATAAGTTCCTCATTTTCCTGACACTAAGCTCACTTCTCTGACACTAAGCTCACTCCTCTATCACTAAGCTCACTCCTCTATCACTAAACTCACTCCTCTATCACTAAGCTCACTCCTCTATCACTAAGCTCACTCCTCTGACACTAAGCTCACTTCTCTGACACTAAGCTCACTTTTCTGACACTAAGCTCACTCTTCTATCACTAAGCTCACTTCTCTGACACTAAGCTCACTCCTCTATCACTAAGCTCACTCCTCTATCACTAAGCTCACTTCTCTATCACTAAGCTCACTCCTCTATCACTAAGCTCACTCCTCTATCACTAAGCTCACTTCTCTATCACTAAGCTCACTCCTCTATCACTAAGCTCACTCCTCTATCACTAAGCTCACTACTCTATCACTAAGCTCACTTCTCAAACACAACAGTAGACCACCAACAAACTTTAACTCAATAGATTTTTAACCAATGAACAAAAATACTCCAATATCGACCTGAAATTGAAACACTTGACCCCGGATTGACCTCCTTAGTGTTGTTGATCATGTCTAAGTGGATGTAGTTTGTGCTTATTTTATTTTATGTTAATTTATGTATTGTGATAAAGCTGTTTGAGTATTGTTTTATTGCTGCTTACGACATTACAGTACAATACACACACACACACACACACACACACAGAGGAATACACAGACAGACAGATAAAGTTACAGCTAATCAGACTCTTAACAAGCACAATTTAACTCTCTACCAATTAAGGTGTTTTGACCACAGTGGTACTCTAACGCCGTGAATACAGAAGACAGGAATGCAGACCAGCGTGTAGAAGGAGGACAGATTTACACACCGTCTACTTTCTTAATATACATAAAAAGAGACAGAAATAGACGGAATTCTAGGTAACTTTTTTTTTATGCATTTTATTTTATTTTTTTTGTATTTATCCTTTTTAGAAATTATACGATATGTAAACTTTGTAATCATAGTTGAGTTCAGTTTAAACTACAGAATTAAGGTTTTAGGTGTTTATTAAAGGAAAGATGTGGGTTATTTAGGTCGTGTTCACTCTACTCTTTAAGAATCAGGCCCTAAATAAAGCCCTAATATTCAGATCTTTCTAAAATAGTCGCGTTTAATATAGTCTTCAGAAATCAGATCTAAAATAAGCTTCTATAAATATAAATTAGAGTATTCAGAATATTCTAAATTAGCCGCGTTTAATCTAGTCTTCAGAAATCAGGCCCTAAATATCTCCTAATATTCAGACCCAAAACCAGATCCTGAAATATTACCCTCAGACTATTCTCGTACCCAGATATCAGACCCTGAAATAAACTCTTAAATACTTCTCATGAGCTCGTGCTGGGACATCAGATGGGAGATGGAGGAAGACATGAACTGAGAAATACATGTTTCTTACCGCTGTGTCTTGACATTTGTGAGAATTTGTAGTATTTGTGAGTGGTAAATGAGCTGTTTGGTAAGGGGGTCGGGGAGGCGGACGACACCAACCTTATTCTGCCTGGAGATATACTGTTATGGTGTGTGTGTGTGTGTGTGTGTGTGTGTGTGTGTGTGTGTATATATGTACCTGTATGTATATGTGTGTGTGTTCGTACGTCACTCTAGCTGTCCACATATATGTATGTACATAGGAACAGCTCATATTAAATCATTACTGGCTCATGAAGATGCCAGAGGGGCCATCGGCACTCTTGTACTAACCCTTAATTAGGATGCAAGGTGAGGGCTCCTTACCTGTGTAATGTGATGGGCCCAACAGTATAGCTACGATCAATTTAATTTAATGAGTGTCACCTGTGATAAAAATAAAGGTATTTAATTTGCCTCCCTCATGTCAATGTGGTTTAGGGAATTAATTATCTTTCTTTCTTTCTCAGACATAATGTACACACACACACACACACACACACACACACACACACACACACACACACCTATGATTGAGGTGATTGGTATATGAGAGGTAACTATGCATAGGACTCAGGGATATGTAAATTAGTCTTCTTGTTCTGCTTCGCTTTGTTCTTCTTGTTCTTCTTCACTTTGTTCTTGTTCTTCTTTTTCGCTTTGTTCTTCTTGTTCTTGTCATTCTTGTTCTTGTTGTTCTTCTTTTTGTTCTTGTTCTCTTTGTTCTTGTTCTTACATAAATCAATATCTGAAGGTATAGTTTTTTCGCACATATGCATACACAGGCATATATATACACACACACGTATATAAACAAACATATATACATACACACGCATACACACACGCACAAACACACAGATATATAAATGCACAATACACAATCACGTCTCTCTCTCTCTCTCACAAACGACCATATGCGGCAGAAATCATTAAGGGAGAAACGTACATACACTGCCCACCCCACATCACCTCCAAGTGGCTGTCACTCACACGAGTATCAAATTAGGTAACTAAGTCGCTATAACCAGGCTAGGAATCCCCCCCTCCCTCTCCCTCTCCCTCTCCCTCTCCCTCTCCCTCTCCCTCTCCTTTTCCCTCTCCCTCTCTCCCTTCTTCCCTACCTCCCTCTCTCCTTCGATCCCTCCCTCTCTCCTTCGATCCCTCCCTCTCTCCTTCGATCCCTCCATTCCTCCCTCCATCCCTCCTTCACCTCACCTTCCTTACCCTTCCTCCCTCATCACCAACCTCTCACCTGTTCAGATAATACTAATTACTCCAGGTGTATTGAAGGTAAAAAAAAATAGATGATACTAAAATTAGTTTGATTTATATGTTAATTGGTTTGTTATTTGTAGTGAAGATGATTCAACCAGTTAAGGAGATTCTTAGAGATTCTTAAGACAATTTATTTATTTTTTCATCTTAACTTTACGAATTGAATTTTAATTGGTGGATAATTTAAGGTGTGAAGGATATTGTATTGTAGGCCATTTTTTTCTTATTTTCTGAGAGAGAGAGAGAGAGAGAGAGAGAGAGAGAGAGAGAGAGAGAGAGAGAGAGAAATTAAAGTATAGGAATCTACCCGAATCGAGGAGACACTGAGCAACATTTTATGCAAAGAAGACGGCGGACATCATGGCCTTACCCCGAGTGATGGGAATGCGAGGAACGCTTTAAGGGGCCGACTGTAGTGTACACATGCCCTTGCATTATCTCATTATCCGGTCTGTCAAAATATTGGTGCTGGGAGCCGAGCGAGATCGTTATCAGGCATTGAGATCACTAGCGAGGCAGACGGATAGACGAGGTGAAGCTACTGAAGGGGATGGGGGATAGGGAGGAAGGGGATGGGGGATAGGGAGGAAGTGGGGTGGGAGGAGGAGGATGGGGTAGAAAGAGGAGGAGGAGGAGGGGATGGGAAGTGGGTGGAGGGGGGAATGGAAGGAGGAGGATGAGGAAGGGAGAAGGATAGAGGGGGATGGGTAGAAAGATGAGGAAGGGGAGAAGGAGGAGGAGGGGAAGGAAGAAGTGGAGTGGGAGGAAGTAGGAGAGAGATAGGGAAGAAGAAGGGGAAGAGGAGAAAGGGAAGGAGAAGTCAACCATGACCTAATTTTTTTTTATGAAACTCTTAAGTAAATTCACTGTGGAATCCAAAGCCAGAACACGAGTACTTGTTCCCCATTAACTGATAAGAACCTTTGTTGCCAAGACCAGGTTAGGTTAGGTGAATGAGTGAGGCATCGAACATAACACTAACCCTATGTCGGGGAGAGAGAGAGAGAGAGTCTGTGTGTGTGTGTGTGTGTGTGTGTACCATCCGGAGAGAG